CTTGCTGCGGCTGGTTTCGGGTCGGCCAAACATGCTCAGCATGTTCGGCCGACCCGAAGTGCAGAAGGAGTTCGACTCTGGATCGGCAGATCCAACATCTGGATCGGCTGAGCCGAACCTCCGGCAGGCTACTCGCTGCTGTTTGGCCTATTCTCATAGATGCAGAACAGCAGTGAGTGAATAGCCGAATGCCGCCGAGCGGCATTCGGCTCGGCTATTCTGCTCGTACCTCTGTGGTACCGAGCAGAACAGAAAAATAGTAAAAAAAATTAAATAGAAAACGATTGGGCGGAGCTAGCAGTGACAGCTCGCTCCGCCCAACTGTTTTCTAGTGGACGGGCGGTTCTGCTGCTATTACACCCGCCCTCTGCTGCTGTCAATCACTAGAAGGGGACCTGCCCTCTGCTGATTGGCAGCAGTGGGCGGGTGCAATAGCTAGTTTGCTATTGGCTATTGCAAATTGCAATAGCCAATAGGAATGTACCTATGCATTCCTATGCTGTTTTTTTTTTTATTCTGATGACAGCCAACGGCTCCGATGTCAGAAGAAAAAAAAAGACAACAGAGCAGGGAAAGGTTTACTCTGCTCGATGGAGCAGAGTAAAACTTTCTGGGAGGAATTGTTTCTCTCCCAGCCGGAGAGGAGCTGCTATCTAATAGCGGGAGACTCCCAGAGCTTCCGGGAGAGTTGGGCTGTCTGGAGATCAGCTGATCTGTCTGTGCAAGTGGCCGGAGCCAGCCGTGAGATGACGGCTGGCTCCGCCCAGCAGTCAGTGGTCAGTAGCAGGTTGTCGGCCGGCCATATGCCTTCGGCTCGACTGAGCCCCTCGGCCAACTTCGTGAGCTGTACGGGCTAAAGTGAATAGCCCATACAGCAGCCCTTCGGTTCTACTGAACCGAAGTGGTCCTGGAGTCGAAGCTAGCCGAAGGATCAGACGAAGCTACGGCTAGATCCTTCGGCAGCTTTGTGAATATACTCCTATATGAGATTCCTTTTGTAACTCTCAGATTTTAGCATTGCATGCACACACAGAGGAGCATTGTAGATTAGCTGATTGATAAGTGTTATTTTTAAAGGAAAGATGTTAACTTTTATATTTTATTGCAACACAGCAAATGGGAAGTGGTGGGAGAATGCCATTTCTGCTTTTTTCAAGAGAAGTTCACCTGTCAGCTGGCTGATAAGAGATGTGAGTTGAGCCAAGCTGAATGATGATTATAATGCTCTTTGCTGTTGTTTGCTGCAAAGGCTGCATTAGTAAAATAGGAAAATTTATATTCTGTTGTATTCTTCTCTCCATCAGGCATTAAATAATGCCAAAGATTTTGAGGCTGCTGCACTACAGCTTTCGAAGACTCCAATTATAGCTGATACGTATTACATCATGGGTGGCACTCAGCCAAGAGAAGGGTTGGTCATCACCAGAAATCGGGATGGACCTGCAGACCTCTGGCCTTTGGATCCCCAAAAAGGAGAGTGAGTGAAACTTTATTAATATGTATTATTCAATATGCATCAGTGCCCCAGTATTTAGTATGCTCAGCACTTGGAAAGGGTAGTAAAAGCCCTGCTTAAATTGAGCCATGTAAGAGAGTGGAGAGATATTTCACCAAACCTCCTTTACCGTCTGTCCTTAGTGGCCACCAAGTTCTATGTGGCAATAATATTAAAACTAACTTGTCCATAAGTTTCGGTTGCACTTACTGTAACCCTTAATACTTTTATTTTAGGGCTGGTAATGATTAAAATTTTCCTGTTCGATTAATCGCAAAAAATTTTAATCGATTCATTTCGATAAGCAGACAGAGCCTCTTGTGGAAGGGGGGAGGAGTCCGGTGACGTCGCGGACATCGACAGAAGACCCAGAAGCCGGCGGAGAGGTGAGTATGGATCAAAAGAACTTTGATCGATCAAAATAATTTTGATCGATCAAAAAAATTAACGATTAATCGAGGGATTAATCGTTAATTTCCGCAGCCCTATTTTATTTCATATTTTTTAAATTTATTTCAGGTATTTATATAGCACCGACAATTTGGGCAACACTTTGCATATTTTACTTTCACATCAGTCCCTGCCCTCATGGAACTTACACTCGAAGATACCTACCTTACATGTATACATAATCATACAAGGGCCAATTTAGATGGGAGCCAATTTGGCTACCAGTATATTTTTGGAGTGTGGGTGGAAACCCATGCAAGCACAAGGAGCACATGAAAACTGCACAGGTTGTGTCTTGGTTTGGATTCAAACTGAGGAACCTAGTTTTGTAAGGCAGCAATGCTACTCAATAGGCCACTGCACTGCCAATAATGACATAATTTTATTGGTGGGTGTAAGGTAGATACTTGGGATGCACCGATACCACTTTTTTAAGACCGAGTACCGATACTTTTGATCAAGTACTCGCCGATACCAATTACCGATACTTTTTCTTAAAGGACCAGGTCACATTTTTTCTAAAGCAATACAAACTAATGATTTTAGGTCAGTTTCTTAATATTATGATTCATGAGATGACGAGGGAGCATGACGCCGGCTTCCCGGCCAATCAGAATGCCGGGCGCTGTGTCATTACACGGCACCCGGCTTCCAGATTGGCTAGCTTTCTGACCAATCGGGAAGCCGGGCAGCGCGTCATTACACGCTACCCGGCTTCCTGATTTGCCGGGAAGTCTGCTCCATGCTCTCTCATCACAAGAGACGAGAGAGCATGGAGCAGTTTCCCGGCCAATAAGGAAACCGGGCAGCGTGTAAAGACAGGTACAGTACAGTCACCACTGTCACCACTGGAAATCTATGATAAACGTCATAGAAAGTTAAAAAATATAGTACGTTTTTGTGTCAGATTATCTTTGTAGGCCTCTTTGTTAGTCAGTAAAATAACGTCATCAGTAGAATTACATAATGGTGAGCTATGTAATACCTCATTTGAAAAACTCTTTATTTGATAAGACAGCTTTTCTCCTAAATAAAGAATGCACTTATTTATAAATAAGAAGACTAGAGTATATGTCTTGAATTGACTTTACTCGCTTGCTTTTCTAGCAAAAATGAGGAAATATTCCACAAAGGGAGTACAGTACTGCATAATTGCATTTTGTGGTTGTAGTAGTTTGTGTAATTGTGTAATAGCTATTTCAACTGTAAAAGCATCTCAAGTGTTTTAAATCTATGCTGTATCTCTTATAGATGGTTCCACGTAGAAACAAACTATGACCACTGGACCACCCCCCCACCCTCTGATGACCGACGGTATGAGTCCTCTGGATATTCAGTCAGACTGATTAATATTTTGGCAAATAGAAAATCAACCTCTTTTTTTTGTGTTGCCTGTAAGCACAGGTTTACTGTAGTTAATGGTAATTCTGGACAAGTCCTTGTTTATCTAAAACTTATTCTGTTTACAATTTAATAAATGTAGGAGGGATAGCCCTTCATAGTAAAATAATTGAAGACCAAGCTCATAAGGTCTGCATTTTAGAGATACTCAGAAGAATTATGTTATAATCTTTTTAAATTACTTACACCACATTGCTTTTTCTTTTCCGGTTCAGTCAACAGATGTGCTAAAAATTTGATTCTGTTTTCACAGCAGAAAGGGGAAGTGATCAGCTATGAGATCACTGCATTCTCAGTGATATTGTTGGCCTAAAATTAACAGAAGTGCTGCATTCTTAGCAGGCGCTGACTGGCAACTTTTAGCCCAGGGGGCAAGTACAACCCAGAGTCACATGGTGCTGCAACTTGGCCCCCCTGCCAATCTGCCTCTTCCCCGCCTTCTCTCCGCCCGTCTGCCACTTTTGCCATCCATGTAACAGTAGTGTGAATGGTCGGGTGATGTGGGGACCCCTAGTAAGTCCATGAAAGGGGTGACTGGCTTTGGGATAGTGCTCTCCTCCTACTGGGCTCCCTACATATTTCTGGCCTTACTCCGCTCTATTTCCGGTATATAGGCACTCTCACCCACTGTAGACTGCCGCTGGCTGTCCATGCTTCTGGGCTGTGAGGGGTTAGTGGGAGGGGCTGGATAGTTTCAAAATCAGTGTTCTATAATTTTTCTCGATCCTATACATTTTCTCGACTGTGTCAATTCTAGTGGGTCCGAGTCATCCGAATCAGCTGTTTTCATGACCCCCTTTCTTCATGACATGCACACCTGGAAGTGACAAGGTCCAGAAATGTATCGGTTGAGGAAAATTATAGCACACTGGTAATGGAGGGATGCCTCGTCAGTGCTGTGCACGTTTACGACTGCTGCGACCCTGGTAGTTCTGCCAATAACTCCAAGCTGTAGAGGGACTACAAATCTCACCAACACATTATACAGAAATTTAAAATAATACCACCAGCTATAGAGGACTATAAATCTCAGAAATACATTGTACAGCATTGCAAAATGGCATTGGCTATAGAGAACTACAATTCCAAGCAATACATTACACAACAATGCAGAATACCATAAGCTATAGAGAACTACAATTCCAAGCAAAACCATACAGCGATGCAGAATACCATCAGCTATAGAGGACTATAAATCCCAGCAATAATGACTACCAACAGCTGTAGAGAACTACAAATCCCAGCAATACGTATTACAGCAATGCAGTATACCATCAGCTATAGAGGACTATAAATCCCAGCAATAATGACTACCAACAGCTATAGAGAGCTACAATTCCCAGCAATACCATTATACAGCAATGCAGAACAGCATCAGCTATAGAGGACTATAAATCCCAGCAATGCATATTACAGCAATGCAGAATAATAGGAAGCTACATACTCTGTTGCTCTGGGTTCGCCACCTGATGTCTCCAGGGTCTCAGGAGGGCTGTTCGGGCTCTCACCAGGGGTCCAGAGAGTTTCACAGGAGTGTGTGTGTGCAGCAGAGGCGGCTCCCTAATTAGGCTCACAGGTGGCCAATGCGGACTGTCAGGTGGTCAGTGCGGAATCTGTGGTGGCCAGTGGGTGCTCCCTAATAATTAGTGGAGGCTCTGTGGTAGCTCCCTGGTGGTTAGTGGGGGCTCTGTGGTGGCCAGTGGAGGCTCCCTGGTGAATAGAGGGGGATTCCTGGTGGTTAGTGGGGGATCCCTGGTTGTTAGTGGGGGATCCCTGGTGTAGGGTGACCATTCATCTAGAGCTGCAGCTAACTATTATTTTAAAAATCAATTAGTTAGCCGATTTATTAAGTTCGATTAATCCAGATTTTAAAAAATGGCTCCAGTGATGGACTACGAGTTTGTACTGAGATTGTAGTCCATTACGGGAGCAAGCTTGTAGTCCATCACGGGAGCAAGCTTGGAGTGGTGGAAATAAAAAAGTGTGGTGTGCAATATAGTGAAATGGAAAGTGTAACATTATACAGCAATCAATGCAAAATGGCACCGGCTTTAGAGGACTACAAATCCCAGCAATAGTACATTATACAGCGCAATGCAGAATACCACCAGCTATAGAGGAATACAACAAATACAGTGTATACATAATACATACAGTGTATAATGTATTGCTGGGATTTGTATTCCTCTATAGCTGATGGTAGATTGCTCTATATAATATACAGTACAGCGCAATCTACCATCAGCTATAGAGGACTACAAATCCCACTATCCCAGCAATACATTATAGAGCACCATGTGTGGGAAAGTGCAGGCTTACCTGAGCAGTCTTCCAGCAACTTGCTTCTGAGATTGGGCCTATCTGTCGGCGGCTGTCATCCCCTCACTCCTGCTCCTCCTTACTTCTTCTTTTCCCCGCGTCTCTGTGCCAATCGTTGGGTGTGGGTGGTCGGGGAGGAGGTGCGGCGTGTGGAGCATGGATGCAGGTCTGGCAGCAGCAAGCGTAACGCGGGGAGGAGGTGCGGCGCGTGGAGCGTGGATGCGGGTCTGGCAGCGGCAAGCGTGAGGCGGGGAGGAGGTGCGCCGTGTGGAGCACCGTGTGGAGCGCCGTGTGGAGCGTGGATGCGACCGGGCGGGCCTGGCAGCGTCACGCGTGAGGCGGGGAGTAGGTGCGGCGTGTGGAGCGT